CAGGCCGAAGACATAGTGAACAAAGTGTTCCTCGGCCCTTAGTTTGTAATAGGAGAAGCTAGCAGACAATTTCTTCATTTTAAGTGACTCCTCTTTTGCCCTGTACTCATGTTCCATGTACCAATTTGTAAGCAGTTATCTGGCCTGTTGTGTGTCTCCTCGAGGCTCAGTAGAATAGCCGTTTCGGATTAGCCCATTTCGACTTGTGATTCGATCTAACTCGATTAAATCTAAAAACGGCTCTCATGGTAAAACTTTTTAAATTCCTCCCCGGTCATCAATCGCCGCATTTTCCCTCGGTATTGGTAGAACGGCGCTCCCTCTTCCATTAATTGGGCTTGCCTTTGCATATTCCGAGATATCGACCATCCCATCTCTGTGTTTGTTCTTACTCTATAGACAATACATATCGTATCGGCTTTTACCCCTTTGGGTTTGTTTTTTAAACTAGAGGCGATACCCCTCCGGTATCGGCTATTAGAGCCGATGACTGAACGAACCGGCTGTCAAGTATTAGTCCAAATGCTAGGATAATATTTCTTTAGATACTTTCCATTGATTGCTCTATCAGGCTCTTCTCCTCCTCCTAGTGTTTCCAAAATATAAGCATTGCTAGGCGCACAACGTTTAATCTGATAAGGCCTTTTTCCAATTAGGTGACCACTTGCCGAACTTGCTATCTCTTGATCCGATCGGTAATTTCACCTTCCAGACCAAGTCTCCTTCAGAAAATTGTTTGCTCTTGACCTTCTTATTGTAATACTTCTCAATCCTTAACTTATTGGCTTCGATATTCTCAAGAGCACACAGCCGATGTCAACTTAAGTCTTCTAAGTCATCCATCATAAGATTCATGTAAACTTCGGTTGATAAATCATTTTGCAACGTGACACGCCTCGATCCAGTTTGAATCTCCTAAGGAAGGACTGTATTATGACCATACACAAGTTCATAAGGTGACGTTTTAATCAATCTGTGACAGGCCATCCTATATGCCCATAATGCCTCATTAAGCGTTGAATACCACTTCCTTGACTACTCTTTGATGTTTTTCTTGATCAGCTTAATCATAATTTGGTTGGACACCTCTGCCTGGCCATTAACCTGAGCATAGTAAGGAGAAGAATTTAATAACTTAATTCCCATACTGGCAGCAAAATCTCTGAACTCTTCTGATGTGAACATTGTCCCCTGATCAGTAGTAATAGTTTGAGGAATCCCAAAATGATATACAATATGCTCCTTGATAAAATCAACCATGTTCCTTGAGGTTACCGTCTTCAAAGGAATTGTCTCAACCCACTTAGTGAAGTAATCTGTTGCTACCAATATAAACTTATGTCCTTTACTTGAAGGCGGAAAAATCTTGCCAATTAAATCAATTCCCCAACCTCAAAACGACCATGGTTTGATTATTGGATTTATAGCCGATGCGGGCGATTTCTGAATATTACCAAAACGTTGATAATCCTGACACCCCTTATAATATTTAAAATAATCTTCTAGTATTGTTGGCCAGAAATATCTGGTCCTACGAATAATCCATTTCATCTTATAATCCGATTGATGAGCTCCACATATCCCTTCATGTACCTCACCCATCAACATTTTAGCTTCTTCTTGATTTAAGCATTTAAGCAACACCCCATCGACTGTCCTGTAATATAGCTAATCATCTAGCAAGACATACTTCTATGATGGATTCTTAAGGTAATCGGTTATTTCAACTCTCCAATCATTAGTCAAGGTTTCACTACTTAGGATCTCTTGAAACACTCGATAAGCTGACGTACTTTGAGCTAACCGATTAGCCTCTTGATTTTGTGCTCTTGGAATATGCTGAAGAGAAATATGAGAAAACTCCTTGAGTAACCTCTGGCATTCATCATAGTATCCCCTCAGAATATCATATTTACATCCATATAGGCTGATCAACTAATTAATAATTAACTGTGAATCTCTAAATACTTCAATTGCCTCGGCCTTTACTTCATGAAGAAGTTGAAGCCCCTTAAGAATAGCTTCATATTCTGCTTGATTATTGGTAGTCATTGGTTTAGTCAGAAAAACAAACTCAAAACTTGCCCCCTGAGGTGAAATAATAACAATACCAATGCCACCACCTTGCTTGCACGATGACCCATCAAAGAATAACGTCCAAGGTATCGGCTCTACACAGCTAATACTCGGCTTATGATGCTGGGTGACAAAATCGGCTATTACTTGCCCCTTGACTGCTTTAGCTGATTCGTACCTCAAGTCAAATTCCGACAATGCAAGAATCCACTTCCCCATTTTCCCATTTAATATCGGCATTGATAACATGTGTTTGATCACATCAGCCTTAGAGACAACTGTACACTCAACCAATAACAAGTAATATCGCAACTTGGTGCAAGAGAAATATAAGCATAAGCATAACTTTTCAATAGGAGAATATCTTGTTTCTGGATCCAAAAGCATTCTACTTAGATAGAAAATAACTTGTTCTTTTCCTTCA